TGATGGGTTAAAAAGTGTAATTTTGGGGATTCCCCCCCCCCAGGTATTTTTTACTGGCTCGGACGGATCCGGACCCAAAAACCCCGGCCAGCAAAGCCTTCACCGGGTTCATCGTGGAGGCCGACAGCCCCGGCATCCAGGTCGGGAGGAAGGTGGGTGTGTCCCCCTTAATTATCCTAATTAACAACGCCGGAAACACAGAGCTCGTTAAAGCCAGGGCGCGTTCCCTTGGCCCCCCCTTATCAACAGTAGAATTTCACAGCTTCAGATTAAGGAATTACCCGGAATATTCTAAATTGAGATGAATTTCGATGGCTGGAAATGAGACGTTGAGAAGTGTTTAATTGACAAACGTTAATTAACGGGAATTAACGAGCGCAAGAACCAGGAAGGGGCCTTGGGGATGGGGGGCACGTCCTTGGTTGGGGGGAAAAAATAAGAAAACATAAAGAAAACAAAGAAAGAACTGTTTTTTAGCAGCAATTGGATGTTGAAAATTAGGGGAAGGATGGGAAAATTGGAAAATTGAATTTATTTATTTTATATAAGGGGGGGTTTTACTAATTCTCTGTGGTTTAGGGCCTTTCCCTTTTCCCCTCGTGTCTCAAATCGAAGGAGAAATTGAATCTCGTGGAAATAGAATTATAAAAATAATCAAATCTGGAAAAATAGAATTATAAAATAATTGAATCTTGTAAAAATTTAAAATGAATCTTGTGGAAATGGAATTGTAAAATAATCAAATGCCCTAAAATAGAATTAAAAAACAATCCAATCTCATAAAAATATTATGAAATAATAAATCTTGTCAAAATGGAATTATAAAATAATCGAATCTTGTAGAAATAGAATTATACTTGAATCTCATAGAAATAGAAGTGTAAAATAACCAATTATTGTAAAAATAGAACTAAAAAATAATTGAATCTCGTAAAAGTGGTATTATAAAATAATCCAACATTGTAAAAATAGAATTATAAAATAATTGGATTTCATAGGATTAGAATTATAAAACATGCAAATTTCATAGAAATAGAATTATAAAACATTCAAATTTCACAGAAATAGAATGATAATCAAATATTGTAAAACAGAATTATAAAATAATCAAATATTGTAAAAATAGAATTATAAAACAATCAAATCTCGTCAAAATAGAATTATGAAATAATTGAATCTTGTAGAAATCTGAGAATTGCATCTCACGGAATTGAAGTAGAAAAAAAGGCCAAACGAGTGATTAATTGCAGAATTGGAGAAATAACGGAATTAATTGCAGAATTGGAGAAATTAAATTTCCTGGCTTCTGAGAAATCGAGGGCGTCGGGATCAGGAAAGGAAAAAACCGGGATTTATTGTCGAAAAATCACCATTTTGACAAAACTGAAGCGTTTGGGGTGGGAAAAAAACCCGTTTTTCTCCTGCCTTGATGAAATAAGGAAACACAATGCCGTTTTTGTGTGAAACGGTGTGATTTTGGGCCCGGCAGGAGCTGAACATGGGCCAGCGCTGCTCGGACACGCGGGGGATCCTCTTCGAGGACGTGCGGGTGCCCAAGGAGAACGTCCTCCTGGGCGAGGGCGCCGGCTTCAAGATCGCCATGGGGGCCTTCGACAAGACCCGCCCCCCCGTGAGTCCCCACAGCCCCCCCAAATTCCACATTCCCTCCAAAATCCCCATTTGGGTTTGGTGTTTTTACCCCTTTTCCCCCGTTTCTCCCGTGGGCGCAGGTGGCGGCGGGCGCCGTGGGCCTGGCCAGAAGAGCCATGGACGAGGCCACCAAGTACGCGCTGGAGAGGAAGACCTTCGGGAAACCCATCGCTGAGGTGAGTTCAAATGAAAAAAACCACAATTCTGTAAAGAGATCAAAAAAAGAAAATGTCGAAAATGGATATTTTCACCCGCTCCTGGGGAATTTTCAGATTTCCTTGATATTTAGGGTGTGAGGGTTTATTTTCTCTCCGCCGTCGCTTGGGGTTTCTGCTAAAATCTCAGTGTTGAGGAAGTTCTCAATCCACAAATTTTAGAGTCCTCAATCTGTGAATTTTAGAATCCTCAATCTGTGAATTTTAGAATCCTCCTCCACAAATTTTAGAATTCTTAATCCATGAGGTTTAGAATTCTCAATTTGTTACTTTCAGAATTCTCATCCCCAAATTTCAGAATTCTCAATCTGTGAATTTTAGAATCTTCAATCCCTGAATTTCAGAATCCTCACCCACAAATTTTAGAATCTTTATCCACAGATTTCAGACTCTTCGGTCTGTCAATTTTAGAATCCTCTATTGTGACTTTTAGAATGTGCATCCACAAGTTTTAGAACTCTCAGTCCAGGAATTTTAGAATCCTCATCCCCAAATTTCAGAATTCTCAATCCATGAATATTAGAATCATCATCCATGAACTTTAGAATCCTCAAATTCTAGAATTCTCATCGACAAATTTCAGAATTCTCAATCCATGGGTTTTGGAATCCTCGATACTCAAATTTTAGAATTTTTGATACGTTTTAGAATCCTCAATACCTGGATTTTAGAATCCTCGATTGTGGATTTTTGAGTCCTCGATTGTAAATTTTTGAGTCCTTGATGTGAATTTTTGAGTCCTTGATTGTGAATCTCCTCTGACCCCTGTCCCATCCATCCCATCTCCATCTCCATCCCATCCC